ATTGATTGGTCTATATATAAGCATAAAGCAAATGCATAAGGAAATGGACCAATCAATTTCCTTATGCTTATGCGTTATGCTTTATGCAAAAGTCTGTGCTCCGGCCATTATGCTATGCATATGCAGTTATGTCATTTTGTGTGTGATGGCCTTAAAAGCCAATAAAAGCGTCTGCTGGCGCTTGCGCTATTACGATGCACAAGATACACAAACATAACCTTTATATACTGATCAACAATGTGTGGCAACAGTTATATGATGAGAATTAAAATTATGTTATACTATTTTGGTATGTACAATCAAAATAGCGAGATTTTTTAAGAGAGTAAAATCGGAGTCGGAGTTTATAGTTATCTGCAAATTTGACAAATCTTATTTTCTTTAAAATGGAGAAATCCACGAGTAAATCTACGCAAAATGAAACTGATACGTTGACAACTCCCATGTATTCGTCTCTTTCACGTATTCATATCGAATCGGAGGAATCGAAATACATTGTTAAAAAATCAATTTGCAATTTGTCTTTTTCAATCAACTTTGACTTTAATGATGTCAATAGCGAAAATTCTACTGATTCCGAAAATGCCGATTTACAAATAGATATATCTGAAGTAGATAACTATGATTTATCTAGCAAGCATAAAAGAGAAGCTATTGACGAAGCATCGGTACTTAATGAAATGGAAGAAGAGATTGAAAGACAACTTGATGCTAAAGCTGCCAAAACTAATTTAACTGCCACTAATGTTAAGAATATATTGAAACATGTAATCCCTTATGAGCATTTAATGACAATGATACAAAAATGGCTTCAAGATACAGTGAACGACAACTTTGGACCTAAACTGACAAGAGCTAAAGCCAAGTATGTGTTGTTATATTGTACAAATTGTTAATTTTATTATTTATATGTATAATGTTAATTTACAATGTGCATATAATATGTTATTAACTTGTTATAGAAAATTAGCAGCTGAAAAACTCAATATACCATGGCCTATTACTACAGCACAAAAAACTTCTTCAGAAGTACAAGTGTTAATTCAAGAGGAATTACCAGAAGATTCGTCTGATGAAGAATATAATCCTGAGCATGATAAACAGAGTGATGATGATAGAGAAGAATATATAGAACATGTAGAGAATACATCAAGTAGCGATGTAGAGTCACAAACATCAATGTCAAAGAATAATAAAGATACAACTTCTGAATCACAAACATCATCACACGTACAATATGATCCTGAAGGAATTTTCAAGATACCAGTGTATGTGAGACAGATTTATTCACATCTATTGCAATGTTTAATTGTAATGCAACTTTCTGTGATTATAACTGATTTTTTTTTAATGTTCTTTAATTATGAAACTTTTTAATATTGTAATTTATTTTAATAATAATTGCCAAATATTTTTTTCCAGTGTACCACCTGTTTCGACGGTAGAAGAGAGTATTGGTCAAAGAACACGTTCTAAATTATCCTTAAGCGAAACTTCTTTAGAGGAAATAGAACAAGCATTTATACCACCTGATATAACTGCTGATATGACTGATTGGGATTGCGATCTTGATGAAGACTGGGATAATTTCTTAAAAGAATTTACTAAACCCTTGAGACAAGAACCAATTATAGAAGATGATCCAGAAGCAGATCCAGAATATAACATCTTGGAGGATGAGGAAACAGATTTATGTGTGTATTTCTATAATATATGATTTTTAAAATTATTTTTTAGCTTTTCTTGATATAACCTGTGTACGAAATATGTTTTTAACCTTAATAAATTATTATTAGTGGACAAGGAAGAGCTCAGGACAGATAAAGCAGTAGAAGTTCCTCGTGAAGAACCATATGATTTAATTGCAGAATTGCTCGAATTAACTCCTATGTTTTTAACACAAGAAGAAGAGCAAGAAATATCTAGAAAAAAGAAAACTCCATATAACATAACTCCGCCAATTGATAATAATACTATGGTAAGAAAAAATAATTTATCATGTCAGAATAGCAATGCTCATACTCTTATTTTCATATTTTAAGGATTGTTCTATGGCGGAACTGTTACCAGCACTTGCAGAACCTGAACAGCCATACTTAATGAAACCTGAACAGCATCTTTTATTAGCTACACAATTTCGGCAACATGTACAATTAATGACACAACACTTTGCTATGACTTTTATGCATCCGGAATATCATTACCTATCAGAAATATGCAAGCAGAACTTAATTGGCTTGAGGTATGATAAAGATAAAGATAATGTGTTAGGAAATAATGAATCTAATCAGAATAATGAATTCTAATCAGAATTATTATTGAAACTCATTAGACATTTAGGTACTGGGCCTAATTCTGCATTTAACGTGGAAAATTTAGAAGAAGCTTTAAAACTAGTGTCAACTTGGGAGCACAACTTTTCTGATGTTAAATTCTATATAAACTTGAAAAAGAATACAACAATGGACATTCATAAAACTAAATCGTATCGTGTAAATAAGTACAGAGATATTGATCCATTTCATCCTGAGTTAGAGAAATTATTTGTTGAAAGTAAGGCTCTTATGTACCCGCAACTTCTACCACATATGCCTTTTATAAATGGATTTAAAAGTCATGTCAAAAGTGCCAAATATTTCAAATCGGAAGAAACGTAAGTATGTTCAAACTGAAGCTTCAAATCTCAAACTTAATATTAAAGCATATTATTTTATTATATTTCATATTTTTGATATTTTCAGCTTAATTGCGTTGGGTATAGAACAGTTTTTACCGTTTGTTGCATCTAAACCAAAAAAATTTAAAAGTAAACAAATGCAATTAAGTGATGCAGTTCAACTTATTTGCCATTATATGTTACCATGCAGAGATGCGCAAGGAGTATTATATCATATTAAAAAACGTCGTGTTGCTAAAGATTCCAATCCAATTAAAGTATGTATATAATTTAATTTCTGGAAATTTAATATTTCTATTTTTATTTACATTTTATTCATAACAAGCTGAAATCCGACAGACTTAATTTTTTTCTTGTAATTCTCTTTCATTGATAGGTGACGCTAAGAATATGCATGATAGTTCTATCTCTTGCTTGTTTTTGCATTCTAAATTAATTTTCTGAGCAAGATTGGAGGGATTTCATAGTATGCACGACAGTATGCGAAATTTTTGTAATGTTTTATAATTGTAATTAAAATTTTATTACAGCATTATTTTGAAAAAACACGCGCTCCTACTATAATACATTACATAACAACGGAAAATACTCCAAAAGCTCCAAAAGATCAACCAATGGAGTTTCTACCTCTAAGATGGCAAACATATCTCAGTAATGTAAGTATAGCAATATTAAAATATTACGTATATCTAACTGAAAGAAATTATATAACAAGTTTACTTATGCTTTTTGTAAGATATATGCAATAATTGTAACAGTAATTTACTTTGCACAATATTTATTAATAATATTAGCTATCTATTTATTATTGCAGCAAAACAATTATAAAAACAATTTGGTAAAAAGTACATATATACTTGATTCAAATGGTAATCTTGGGAAAGCGATAAACATGAATTCAATCGTGAGATCATATCCCAGTGTTTCTAATAATCATCCCTTGCGAAATCCAGTTGTAAATATGTTGCCAAAAATATTACCTGCAACTTTAAACCCCAGAGCTACTTCAACTTCGGATAAGGTTGATACTTCCATTAAAAGAAATTCTAAACTCAACGATAACAACGATGGCAACGAGAAAAACACATTTGATAATGTTCAGAGCCCTGAGGTGCATGTAGAAACGAATAAAACGCACATAAGTCTCCGTAGCTCTTCAAAAAGGAATAATGCAGATGTAAAGGCAAAGCAGACAGATAAATTGCTAGACAAAAATGATACTATAGTAACTAGAAGCTCAAAAGTATCTGAAAATTTATCACAAATGTCAGCAGCGTCACCACAAATACGTAAGACTACGCCCCGATTAGCAAAAATGAAAAGTGCTCAAAATATGAAACTGATGGCACAAGCTTTAGGTTCAAAAAGTTCATCTACTTCTGGTACCTTAAAATCTAAAGAAAAGGATAACGCTGATAAAAACAACGATGAACATTGTGCTGTGTCAAAAGTTGTAAGTTTTAGTTTGTTAGATTAGAAAAAATACTTTTGAATAATATCTAGCTAAATCATGATTCTTTTATACAGGACAATGAAGAAGAAATAGCAGAATTAATGCTGGCCAGTACCACAATAATAAAAGATCCTGTGAGTAGGAAAAAGGCTAAACAAACTAGAGAATTGGAAATTATTAAAAGATTACTGAAAGCTGAAGACCCATTAACTGAAGAAGAACGTGAAGCAAGTGAGTGAGCAATTATAATGATTAGATAAATAATATAAAATAAAACTTGCTTACTTTTCTAATCTATTATTTATCTTTATAGAATTTGCAGCATCGTATCTTCAAAAACTGCATTTGACAGTTCAATCTAATAATCCAGAAACATTTAAAGCCGTGATACAATTGTATTTAGACTACAGTGAGAAATTAGAAAATATTAACCAAGCAGTTGTTGATGCATCGTTTCCTGAAGAACTTTCAACGGAAACGTCACAAAATAATGCAATAAAAAAAGACATACTAACAGTTCAATTGTATCAAGATATCTGCAAAAAGTTGCAGAATTATCCAGAAATGTGTTCAGATTTTCTGTTATTTTTAAAGCCACATCAAGCCGCAATGATTGGTAAATCCATAGAATATATGATGTTACAAAAAATGAAAGATTTTGTTCATGTTGCACAAATATATTTTGCTAAACAACCGTCACGGATAGCAAAAATGATGCAAGCCATTACACAACTTTCATCTGATCCGCACACAACTTTGGAAAATGTTCATGCTGTTATGAGTCCTGTTTTTAAAGGCCATCCATTCGTTATGGATTTATTCTTGCAAGTCCTGCCGACTGCAAAACCTCCTGAAAGGTAAGAATAAGAATTATTTTGACATAAATAACATTAAACAAAATTAATTTTGCAAGTATTATATAGCATGGCATATGACATAAACTTGTAATTATAATTTTAGTAAAAGATTCTCTGAATCGATTTTTTCTCGTGTCAGTGCACTTATTCGATATTTGAAAATATATATCGTTTACATATACAATATTTATATAAAAATAACATTTTAAAATAAAATGCTAATTAATTAAGTCTATTAATATTATTTATAAATCATAGAATCATAATATTATCAACATAATGTATTTGATATTTACCAGCTTATTTGCACCTCACATGTTTGAAAACTTGACATGTCCATTAGGACCTTATGATAAAAATATAACTTATACTGAAAACGCACCAGAGTTATATGAGAATATAGAATTACCTACAATAGCTTATCAGGATGATCCATACGGTGGGGAGAATTGTAAGTGTGATTGTCACATGGACGATGCAAATCTTAAAAATAATTCAGAGCATTGTGTCTCCTGTGGTACACGGGTATGTATTCGCTCGACCAATATTTAATTAAAAACTTTTTTATTTCTTCAACATGCGCATTACTCACGCATGTGTTTTTTTTCCGTTACAAAGATTTAATCTAATTTATATTTATATTTTTTTCTTTCTTAATATACAGTTTCTTAATGGAAGGATTTATCTCCAAACTCCTGAAGGATTACGACCAGCGAAAATTACGTTTCCTGGCGAAGATCAGGAAAAATTGGAAAATATCGCACGCGTATCGTTGAAAGTTGCTGACAAAGGTGTTCCGCCAATTTCATCTAAAAAACGACGAAAACCATCCAAAAATAATCCTAATCACGAAGATATTTGCCAGAAGCAATGCGTGACAAAGTACTTGCCACTAAAAGAAAATGAAGATAATGAAAAAACAATAGCAAAATCTAAGAAGAATGTCAAATTTGCACTTAAAGTAGATCAAGATCAAAGAAAAGTTTTAAAAAGGAGGAGCACTGCGGATGATGCAATTGCGAATAAAAAAATGCGTATGACTCAATGCAAGAATAAACGAGAAAAGAAGACTGAAGAAACAGACACTTTGTTAGAAACAGAAAGCAATGAACTTGATATTACGGAGCAAGAAAAACCAAATGAGTTTACTGAAATAGAAACCAAGAATTGTACGCAATTATCAATGCAAGATAATACATTAGATTCCGAAATCAATACACAAGTTGCTTTAGGTGTAAACAACAGCACAGATCGTAATCCAAGTAAGTCATTTAAATATTATTTTTAATAAAAGGCTATTATTAATGCAAGCAGAAGTAATTGTAATTCAGAGGTTATATATTTTACTTTAGATAATAGAAATGCAGGTATAGAAACGGTAGTTACGACAACGGCAATCGAAGATAGCGTGCAATCAAAGTCTCATTTAATGAACAGTAAACCATGGACACGTCAGGAAGATATGTTTCTACTACAAAGTATCAAGAAGGAATATTCTGAAAATTCATTTCTACTCATTAGTGAACAATTAAAAAATCGCACGGTTAATCAGGTAATTTTTTTATTACCTCTGGAAATTCATACATTTTATATATAATATATATTTATAATGATGAAATCCTGTTTTAGGTGAAAGAGAGATGTCAAATTTTGCTTTCTTTACTCGAGAAAATGTTATAAAAATGTGTATATATTGTACATCTGCGTTTATGTATTTAAGATTGTTATAATAACAAGAATGATATAATAGAAATATTTTTAAACTCGAAATCAAGTTTGATGTGTCATTCTTATTTTCTAAAATATTATAACTATCTTAAATATTTGATGTGATAAATATGTGATCTCTCTATAAATAAAGAATTAAATTTTTATAAAATTTTAATTGTTTAAATATCAACCCTCAGTATACAGATGGTATTTACAATTTATGTTTTTGTTTAAAATAGAGCCATTTACAATGTAGCGCGAACTTTTTATTCTCACGTGACTGAATTCAGTTCGCACCAGAAGTATAGAGAGCACTAGGTATCCAGTATTCTTCATTTTTTATAACTTGTTGCGATCTTCTCCGCATCAAATTGATTAAATTTTGCATGTACTCTTGTCGCTGTGATAATTGCTGCCAAACTTGATGCACATGGTTCCGTAAGGCTTCTCTTGTTCGCCAGCTCTCCATGATAATGTTATTTGACTTCAAACATTTTCAATATGTACAGGAAACTTTGCTGGCTATCGAATTTGTTGAATATTTGGATTTTCATCAAACCATGCTTGCACTAATCTTGAAATATGGATGGCACTATTGTGTTGCATTACTTCAACAACTGGATGCTGTTCTTCTAGATAAATTCTTCTGATGCCAAGTTTCAACACTTCTTGCAGAATTTCCACGTATTCTCCAGCATACATTCTTGGAGATATCTCTTGAAGATTTGCCAATCCACTTGAAGTCATGCTTCCCCAGAATCCTATTGTGGTTCTGCAGGTATTTTCTGATGAGAAAACGTATTTTGGATTTAATTGCAATCAATTTGATCGCCGGACTTTACGTCGCCCTTCTTCTGCGGATGAGAAGACTTTTTCGTCCATCCAAATGACGGCATTTCATTCTTCTTGAGGTGTATTCAAATACTCTCGCGAATTGTATTCTTTCCATCCTATGTTCTGGCTTGAGCTCTTTTCTTTGCTGCAGGATGTGAGTGTATACCTGCAGCACGTGGCCGACGTCTAACTGTTCCTGCAGAAATATTTAATTCCCTGTTCCTTAAAATGTTTGCAACTGGATCAAAAGGATTTTCATCGACAGCTCTTATTATTTCTTCATTTTTGTTCCGGAGTAGTTTTCTGTGGATTTCTATTATTTTTTCGATGATCTTGAAGATTTTCCATTTTTTCTTCTTCATGCTTTTTTATTCATAAAGCAACTGTTTGACAGCTGCATCCCACAACGCGTGCAATTTCTGATTTGTTGTGTCCTGCTTGATGTAATCCCACTATTCTGCCTCTGTCTGACGTTGATAAATTTGAAAATATGTTATCTCGATTTATTTTTGCCTTTATATAACTTCTTGTCCGTCTTCGTTTCGGTATTGATGTTATTTGTTATAATATTTATTATGTTACCATGACATTTCATATAATGTGTGTTAAATGTTTCAACACCTGATTGCGACTGTCTTCGACGTCGGAATAAACAAAATTTTTTTTATTTTTTACGAATATGGTTATCTCATTTTTTATTAAAAAGTTAATACATAATTACATACGCATTCATAATATATAATCAATCTTTTCCCGCTCAATTGATCTTGAACGCGATCGAGATCGCAGTTGGAGATCTCTTCCTGAACCTTTCTCGATAATCGCGATTGTCTGCATTATCATGTAGACTCGGCCAGCACACACAAACATGTGACGTCAGCGATTTCGCTTGTGTGAGTATCCCCTCCACTACGGAACCCATGGTACCAGCGAGCTCGAATTGGCATCACTGGTCGTGTCGAAGGATTCAAGTGTGATTTAGGAGTAGGGGAAAAGAATGTGCGTACCGATAACGCGTGCGAGAGAGAAAGCGTGGAAGTGAGGGAGAGAGGACATAGAGCACGTAGGCTACAGAGCGTATGTAAACAACCTCACCAAACCTTCCCTTGCCGTGAGTGAAAGAAATTCCTAATATGATACATATTTTCCACATTATAAGATATTCTTTGGCGTTCAGAGTTTTAATTTTGATTAATAATTTACTATTTTATTTTTTGCCTTCTATCGTATTTTGTATCGTATCGTATTTTTAAAATTTTTATCTGTAGATTTGTCAATGTAATACAATATAAAAATTAATTTTACTTGATTAAAATTCCACGTTTTAAAGCTCTTTGAGCGTTTTTCTATTTCGTAATGTAACACAAATGAATAAATATACGAATAAAAATTAAATTAATAAATGCCCACACAATAGAAATGTCACGAAACACGTCGCTTTGCGTGAAAACGGCTGCCGACGCAATGCATTTCGATTAAATAAATCTTTCGAAATACGCAATTTAATCGATGTGAAATTTGTTACACAATTCTTATTTATTGAGATATAATTTGTATTTTCCTATTTTTTATT